TTTCCTGGGCCAGGTGATTAAGCACATGGACAGATATGGACATCTATACAATTCACAGTGGGCAATGGTGATGGCCATTGCAGCAGTCTTAGAGGAGGAGTCTGCCAATTGGGCAGCTGACCTATATATGTTTATATTGACTTGGTATCAGGCGGCAACTGCGTTTAAGAAATTCCTTCCAGAAGGTCGAGGTGAATTGGACACCTCTATCAGAAATNACTGATTGAGGAATGATGAAATGTTTGTTCTAAAAGAAAATAAAACTTTTGAAACAAAAGACCATAAGGCAGGGCAGGTGACCCATCACTGACTATATTCAAGAATTCCAGAGCCTGGCCTATAAACAAGTCAACTAGCCACAAGACATGCTAATCGAATGTTTCTAGGACAGCCTGAGCAAATGAGATCTACACCTGTCTCTCCAGGGGTGCATCATCAACTGTACATGGGTGGTACATCCTAGCCAACAAAGTGGAGATCTGGCCAGATATCATGGCCACACTAGTCAAGACCATCGACAACCCTTCCCTACAGAAAAGAAGGAAGTTCCAAAACCGGGAAGAGACAGCAGAGCCCATGCTGCCATTCCAGCACCAGCTTTTGCTGCAGCAAAGAGGGCCACAGGGCAGCCGACTGCTGAGCACCCCAACCAGCACCTAGCCCCACACAATGGGGAAGCAAAGGTCTTACAAAGCCACAAGAGATGCCCCTTAAAGGAGCAGAAGTAATTGAATTCACCCCACCACCCGGCAATGATGAGGGAACTCCGACTAAGCTCCCCAACTGTGGGACGGAGAGCGACAGCAGGACTGACGATGACTCCCTGAAAAGTCACCCCATAATACCCATAACAGTACCAATTGAATTAGTTGTACCCTCCCTGGGACGCAAAGAGAACTTGATTGTATTATTGGACTGAAGCTGCACCAGATGCCTGGTCAGCCCTAGCATAGTGGAGAAACTGGGGATGTGGCTCAGGGAACTAAAAGTCCCCATGGCATTCTGCCAGCTAGATGGCTCAGTAGCAGGAGGGGGTCCCTGCAATGTTCATTACAGATCCAAGAGAGGTGAAGATGGGGCCCCACAAAGAAACCATCAGTTTTATTGTGGCACCAGGCATGGACAAACCATAGTGCTGGACTTAGTGTGGCTACTAAAGTGGAGCCCTTCCATAAATTGGAGGAAATGAATATTAAAAATCAGGCAGAGACCAGGAACTGAAAGAGAAACTGGCCTTTCAGTGGCAAGCACCGCTCGTTAAGAAAGTGAAAGGGGAAAGTCCAGCGGCAGCGCACAAACAAAGGCAGATCCTTGAATCCCCAAAGAGTATTGGGAGTTGCAAGAAGTTTTCAGTGAAAGGGATTTGGACATACTTCCCCCTCATCACCCCACAGATTGCTCCATAGAAATAGTACCCGGGGCCAGATTGCCTAAGCCAAAACTGTACTCCATGACCCCAAGGTAACTAGACGAGCTCCAATCCTTTATAGACAAAAACCTAGCGCAGGGTTTCATTCAACCAGCAAAGTTGTGCATGACAGCACCTGTACTGTTTCGGGAGAAAAAAGATGGATCCCTCCGCTTGTGCGTAGATTACCGTGGGCTAAATGCCATTTGTGTTGAAAATAACTACTCCCCCTCCCCCTGATGAAAGACATGATGGCCCACCTAGCTAAGGGAAATTTTCACCAAATTAGACTGGAGATAAGTGTATGTCAGCCCTTGGGCTGCCATTCGCGTGGACGGGTCCAGCGTGCTTACCTGACAATCGGTTACCCTGTGATTCCTGCTCTCCCAGATTCATCCAGCATGCTCCTTCTTCCTCTTCTCTGGCCGGCTCTAGTGGTGACCTCATCAGTCTGTATCAGACGGGGCTTCGGCTGGCTGCAGATCACCTGGTTGGACTCTGCCCTTCCCTACCTGGCGAGCTCTGCTTGAATGACATCACCCATCTTGCATCCGTGGGCAGGGGGGCTGTTCTTTGCATGGACATTCTCTGGGTGGGGGTAATAGGTGGCAGTGTCATCACTACGGGACAGGGAGGGGGTGTGGTGTATGGGTAATTCGGGTGGGGTCATGAGTATAAAGGTGAAACTCGAAAAATTATAATATCGTGCAAAAGTTCATTTATTTCAGTAATGCAACTTAAAAGGTGAAGCTAAT